TGTAATATATTATAAAATTTGATGTTTGATTTAAAAAGTTATGGCTGAAAAATTAATTAAAAATGAGATTTGATATTGATTTTTTTTTCTTTGTTAAAAAAAATAAAAAATAGAACTTATTTATAAAGCAAAATTATAAATTTATTTTTAATTTCGATATTTGACGTAAAATATTATATTCTAATACCGTGTATAAAATTCAGTTAGAGATGGTTTGAGATAGTATACCGAAAATATCGAAATATATTGTATACCGTACCAAATTTTTAAATTTATTAAAAAAATATATTGATATTGTATCAAATAATCAGTATATACAAAAATACCTTTTTTTTTTTAATTATCTATATACACTGAAAATATCTTATTGTATATCGTTATCATACAAAAAAAATCATATTGTATCGAAATTTTAAAATTATTCGGTATTTTTTTTACGAGTATGCATGTTATTTCCATCATTCAGTATTTTTTATTCGCAAATTCGGTATACCAAAATATTTGTACGGTACGGTAAAATATCATACCAAAAATTTTGTACCGTACGTATACGATGTGGTATTAAATTTGGTATGTCATAATGAACTATCTCTAACAACAACCAAATTCGAAAATTTTTATGTATTATTTATATAATTTTTTTTATTACATTTTTTATTGTACAAATTACATTTAAGTTATTACATTTTTATTTTTTATTTTTTTTATCTAAATGCATGTATTGTTTTACAATAAATACAATTATTATTATTATTTTTAAATATTATCAGTAAATAAAAAATTCAATATTTAAAAATTAAAATAAAAAATATTTAAACTTTGAGTTTAACATTTTATCAAATAAAAAATATTTAATATAACACTTTATTACATCCGTTATTCAAACTAATTAATTATCTAACACAATATTTCTTAAACCACATGCCCAAAAGAAATCGGACTAATTTTATGGGACGAGGGAGTATATATTATTATGATATTTTAAATATATATATTTATTAAAATTATACAAATTAAATAATAATTTTGATTTAAAATTAAAATCTATCCAATTTTAATTTTCAACATTTTTATGATTTTTTTCTATCAATTTTTATATTATATTATATATACTCTTTCCGTCTCATTGAAATGTTACCATTTTTTATTTTAGTCCGCCCCAAAACAAGGTTACAATTTTCTAATTTTGTAATTGTATTAGATACCTAATATAATAAATACATTTTCAACTTTTATATTACACCATAATAATAGATATATTTTTATTTTTTTTACTATAATTAAATACTATAATATTAATATTCACAAATTTACGTGAAAAAATAAATATTGCCTTGCAATGGACAAAGGGAGGACTTAACTTAAAAAAAAAGATGGGGTGAGGGGGGCTCTCCCCCTAAGTCCACCCTGAACGTGGATCTTCTTGGCTGAAGATACATCGTTACATTTGCCTTAACAACACCTCACATAAAATTTTTATAAAACAAAAATTAAATACAATTTATATAACATAAAATATAAATATAACTATTATAAAAATTAAATAAAACGAAAAATAAAAATATGATACCCATCAAATTTTTTGATGTTTTTTAGTCCAAATACTCACCTGTGCACATGGGTATCTTCTTGGCTGAAGATACACCATACTAACAACACTCTACATAAAAATTTTACTATAAAACAAAAATTAAAATAAAATCTTATATAATATAAAAATATAATTATAACTATTATAAAAATTAAATAAAACAAAAAGTAAAAATATTATACACCATTGCACTTGCCCTAACAACACTTCATATCTACTGTTATTTTAATTTAAAATTTTGTTATTATCAAACCTCAAACTCAAATATAAAGATCAATTAAACATCGGTGTATTTGTTTAAGAGTTTGAGTTTATACATATATATATATATATATTGTGTGTTAAATAGTAAAATTTTAATTTTAAATATTTGTTTAATATAATATCTAAATAAACATTGATATTTTGTTTTGAAAATAAAATTAACTACTAATATAATATACTTCATTCATTTCAACTGAAAGTATATTTTTATCATTTTCACTCAAATATATTCATTTTCAAAATATTTTTTTAATTTTTTTATATATTACAAATATTTCATTACACATATTAATTTATAAATAAAAATATAAAAATAAAAAATATTAAAAACATCTTAAAACATTAAAATCATCCTAAAAAATTAGAAGGAAAGAGTAAAAAAAATTAAAAAGTATATACATGTTTGATTTTATTTGGGTGTAAACCCAAGTCCCACGTCGAAAGCTGTGAAAAAAAATTTCACACCTTATAAGTCCCAAATGAACTCTACTAGTACGGGGCCTTTTAGAGAATATCCAAAAACAAATCCGTGCGTACGAGCTCAATCCAAAACGGACGATATGATACTAGTGTTGAGTTGATCTAAGTGTATTTGTGTTTTGTATAAAATATTTAAGAATTAAATATAATTTTAAAAAAATAAATAATTAAATAGTAAAAAAGTAAAATTTGTAAAAAACACAAAAATCAAACCCTCAATAAATAAATAACTATGGAAATGAGTAAGCGCGGGAAATAATAAATAAATAAATAAATTTGTGTAAGTAATTAAATTAGGCGTGAAAAGCGCGGATTGGGCGGTGGCCCAGCACAGCACAGGAGCATTCCATGTGTTGTACTTGTACAGTTGAACTGTAGTCTGTACAGCCGACCAACTCCACCGACGCGAAATGAATCTTGTACCAAAAGGACAGCGCGACACGTGGACACGAAGCAGCTCCTCATTAGTCGCCACGTGTAAAAGTAAGGGGGGACAAGCAATTTATTACGACTAATTCAATTCAATTCAAAGTTAGTTAGTTAGTAGGAGGGAACTAATAGGTAACTGCCACAAGGACCACTAACCGTTGGTCTCAACCGCCGTATTATATGTTAGTCCCGTCCAATGCCCTACCCCCACATACCACGTGCCCCCAGCCCTCTGCTCTATTTCTTCTCTTCTTAATTGGACTTTTATTTTTATAATAATAATATATTTAATTTAGGAAATAAGACTTCTCGGCTTAATCTCCAACCACGTGTTCTATCAACAAGTCTTTTTGTAGACATGTTTTTGTTTTGGTGGGAATAAGACTACACATATAAAAGTCATAATTCTGATTTATTTATTTTTTTGAAATTACATTCTCAAATGTGGGAGAATATAATGACCCCAAACATGGCTTCAAACCCCGTCTCTTCAGATCATTTACCACACATGGTTCATCTGGTTAGTGTAACTTGTCTGTCGAATCTAGTTTGTAGGGTATTAAGTTCGACCGAAAGTTTATCCAGTGCGCACTTTATATTATTCACGTCATAAAATATATATATATAATTATACTCCCTCTATTGACTAAATGTTTGCTCACTTGATATGAGTACGAATTTTGATGTAGTTTTTAGGGTAGTTGCTTGGGCCCACTTTGTTAAGTTGGTTGGTTAAGGAAATCGTGTAAATGGTTAGGCCACGGTGCTAATTAAATAGCATCGTGTAATACTGTAAATATATACTTTAATTGATTTCAATATAATATATACGATAATATATAATAATAATAATATAAAATATATAATATATGTCGTTATAACTTTAGGAATGCACTATGTGAATGGCCCAAAGTCAGAAATTGATGTGCTATCCTTGGAAACCTAAACAACTCCAAACAAAAAAAAAGTGGGGCTAAAAATATTCATAATTTGAAGGGTAGTAGCAATTCTAGTCACAGTAATGTCGATAATTTATTTTTTTGTCAAAGACACTCAGAATTTCATCTTTGAGAAAGTAATAGTCTTATTTATTCACTTCTCCGGACACAATATTTTGAGTATTCAGGCGCTCACGATTGCATAAATAGTAGCAAGTCTGCTGTCACACTGCCTATTGCATATTGCACCCGTAATTCACAAAAAGCAAAAGGCATAAAAAGATGATAAATAAAATAACTTTAATAAACATCTTAAGGTATCTGCATCGGTGAGTTCTTTTTAGACTTCCACGTCACATTCACATCATTATTTATATATTAGAAAGAAAACAAAAAATGCTTGTGGGTTGCTCTGCATAGCAACTCCACAACAATTTTTTTTTTTTTTTTTTTAAATATTATTTATTGAGTTATTTATTTTTATTTTTTTTTATATTTTTGTATTATATAAAATTTTATTTTTTACAAAACGATATATATATTAATATAATTTTATTTAAATTTAATAATATTGTTAATTATTTTGATATAAATTATATAAAATAAAAATTGTGAGAAACTTTTTGATGATTTCATTAATGCGGATGGTCTAACCGTCCATTCTTAAATAAATATGATAGCTATGCAGTGTACCCCCGTTTTAACCGCCTAATTTGGCTATGGTCTATTCTATCTTATCTTATCATATTCAAATCCTATTCTCTACTCGGTCGGTGAGCTTCCTTTTGTTTAATTTTAGTATCCTTGCTAATTAATTAATCACGTATCATGTCTACGTTGCAATTTCTATCTATCTCATGTTCCATGTTACTTTCTTTTTCTTAGAAAATGATTATACACTTTAATCTTATTTTAAATTTTTTAATATATTTTTTTAATTTTAATTAAACTAATTAGTTATCTTAATCTTAATTTATAATTATTTATATTAAAGGATAATTATTTTCACTAATACATTCTTAATTATCTCTACCGTGCAGCGGGAGTAATAATTATAATTATTTGCAAACCACGCGGACCAATCATGAACTTCCATGCGGGTGCTTGTGTTTGTAATAAATGAACAGGACATTAACGACTTTTCTTTCAGTACAATAAATCGGTGACCTAAATTGCAGGAAACATATTACTAGTATTTTTTATGTTACGGGCCATCAATGCTGCCCAATGATCCCATGCTAAATCACCCCCTCCCTTTTTTTTTTTTAAAAAAAAAAATATATATTATTAATTATATCCATATATTATTTAAAAAATAAAAATAAGAATAAAAAAAAACTGTTCAATTACACTACCTGATGGAAATGCTGACCAGAAGCACAAAGCCCCTTTATTTTCATGCATATTACAACATTATACAACCAAAACAAATTAAAGATGGCTCAAAATAAGAATGCAACCAACTCCTCCTTTATGTAAAATAGTTGCTTCAAATCTCCCAATCCGACTGCAGCAGCAGAGACAAAAAGAAATTAATCTCATTGTATTTTCCCAACACGGCCGTGTTAGAGTTAAAGAAGGTATCAAACTCAGACTCAAACTCACCGTATTGAGAAGGCGTATCGCAGCAGGTCGTGTAAATTTTCTTGCAAAAAGGAAGCACTTGGAGAACTCCCCCTTGCTGCTGCACCATTCCCTTCGATACTCAGTCTCGTAGTAGATGTTATCTATGCTCTGCAAGAACGCCATTTGCTAAATACAAGTACGCATTGAAGTAGACATGTCAGCGCCGAACATACCTTGATGGATTGGATAAGAGCGGGGGTAGCATCAGCCAACCTGTAAGTTACAGGATGCCAACCTCGCCTCTTGGGATCTCTCGAAGAAGAAAGATCCCAGGAGCTATGAGTCAAGGACCTCCTTGTGATTTCTCCTTCAAGACCTTTTTGCTGGTAAGATTCCGACAATATTTAAGCATATAGTGAATTTCGCAATCCGACTATTGTAATATGTCCAAACAAATAGCACCCATATTTGAGTAATAGAGATCAGCTTACAGCAAGCAAGGTTTGAACATAGTGTTCATCTGGAATACAGTTGTGCTCCTTAGATCCATCAGCAGGCTGAATATCATCATATTCCACAAGGAAAATAAAATGAACATGTCAATGACTATTTTGACAATTAAATTGATATTTTCTGTCTTTCCAAGATGAATTAAAAACTTGACTTTACCAGATCCACATTTCATATTAGTTGAAAACATACATGTTTAAAGAAAAAACAAAGGATGTAAAGAATAGATAATGGAGAAATGCAGCGGACACTTACAAAGGGATCGTCCCGCCAAAACTCAGGTAAAGATCTCTTCTGTTTTGGGTGGAAAATAAAAGAGAAATCGCATAAGTACTTGTGGTATGAGATTTACATAATCGGGCCGTTTGTGAATAAATGTGTAAAGTATGAATGGTTGATCATAAGTGTATTATCAGATTCTCAAGTGTGTATATGAAGATAAAACAACGCACCTTGCAATGCCTCTGAAACATTGGGTATACAGTGTCATCGTTAACTACAATCTCCGCATGTTTTCGGGTCAGAACAACCCACTGAAACATTGAAACGCACAGGTAAACATGGTAGAAACGGACTCAACAAATATTATTATTGCCATGATTCTTTACTTATTTTTCTTTTCAGGAAATAATTATGTGAAATTAACTGATAATACCTGAGATCCTTTCCGCCAGTTTTCAACAGGAATAACTGGATGCATTTTCGGATTATATCGGCCTTCTTTTGTATCGGCAAAGCTGTGTCCAGATTACCAAAATATCAATTGTTTGTAAAAATAGCTCCTCAAGTAGGTAATAAATAACAAGAACATTAAAAGGGCAAAAACTGTAGAAGGTATAGCAAAGTCAAGAAAAAATGTTTACTCAAGAAGAAATCCAAGAAGTAATCAAATGTCAGAAACTTCATATTTGAATATTGCTTAGACTAAATATGAGGAAACACTCCACTAACCTGTCGACAAAGCTAGTTGAGGCAGACATTATATAGTTGTATGTGTAGCTGAAATTGTATAAAGGTATGCAGCTGAAAAAGATCCAGAAAATCACAAAAAGGCACAGAGAAGGTGTCATTTACAATTTGATGATGAAAAGAGAAAGCTGAGAGGCTAATATACAAATCTTGCATAAGTACTATAACAAAAAAGCTTATTCCACATATCAAAAGGCAAAGTGAATTAATATTAGAGCAGCATTAATTTCCGATTTCAAGGATATTGAGAATCTAATTTTTCTGCCTCACTATTGAAACAGGGACACAACAGCCCTCCCAGCTGTGCTCCCGATTATTTGCTGCTTTGGTACTATTCTGCGCACACGTTGGGGTTTGTGATTTCTCTACCTTCCTAATCCTAATAGTTTCCGTAGATTGGGTCCAACTTTTCCTCTAGCTAAGAAGGAAAAAGATTACATTTTATGGGACTAAGTTTTCACCTGTCTGAGAGGAAAAGAAATCGTTCGTTGAATTTATCCATTAATGCATGTCGAAGCAAGTTGCGTTCAGCCTGGATCATGCTAGCTTCTCCCCAATCTACCTGGAAATGAAGCACCCATTGCTTAGTGTCATCAAAACCTAACTGATGAACAATTGAATAATAGAAAGTACAGAGAAATCTTAATATATAGATAGCAGTGACAGTTGATCAAAAAACACCGAAGTTAGGTATCCAAAAAATATCACAAATGAAAAACAAACAAAAAAGAATGTGAGATTTTAAAAGGATTAAACCTGTACACTATCATTAATTTGACGGTCTAAAAAGTATGTTGATCTTGTTGTCGCCATGGTCAACAAGAACCCTGGCCGCGAATGTACATATACGGAAAATCTGTTCTCAACATCTCCCTGAAAAACAGCCACCACTATATCGTCAACATGAATCCACCATCAATGATGGAATAAAGAAGGTTGTTTAATATATTAACTCTTCAGAATGACCCGAGAATTTAACATATAATCCTAACATGAGTGAAGAGTGCCAAATATCAGTAGGATCTCTGAAAACTTCAAATTATATAAAAAACTATTGTTTATCTGGTCCAAGACATCATTCATTTCTATACCAAAAAACTGAAAGCAACTGTAGATCAGGTCACAGTTGCATTAGGAAAGGTCACTCGTGCATCCAGGAGCAAGACTTCTGTAATTATTTTAAAAATGGCGATGCACCAAGACCATAATGCCAATTGTCATGTCATGCTCATGCTGCTGAACAAATAATTTGGGGAAAAACATACCCAAAAATGGCAAGCTATTAATGGCTCTATGATAATTGCAGCACCGTTATTGAAGAAATCGGTTAAGTATTGTGATATTTGGTACCTTGAAAAACTTATCCCAGACAATGTCGAGCGGAACTCGATTTCTCGCGATAAAGAGAAATGCAATTTTAGGCTTCTGAATCAACGAAGGGGAGACCGACGTCAACACTTTGATTATGGCGGGTGGAGATTCCATCAACAGAAAAGTCGCGAAACAAAACCCTAGCAACAGCGCCGCAAGCAGTTTTCTCTTCCATCGGTGATGAAATTGAAATTTCTGCGAATTCGACCTCCGCTTCATCGAGTCGAAGCTGATACTTCGTTTCACTTGCCTACCATTTCCAATCACATCGCAAATTTCCCGCATTCACTGCCCGAATCAGCTTCACTCTCAGAATTCATCTTCACTCAGCACATTATTACACACTCTATCCATTACCCACATTCATAAGTTCCTGCTCTAGGTTGAATTCAAACTCTTCCCCACACCGAAACACAAACAGATCCACAAAATTACAAATTAAGAGCTTAAACTAACTTCAAACCGCACGGGTTTCCAGGAAACTGCAGGAGTAGCAACAGCAGCATCGATAATTGATAGGCGAATAAAACGAAAAGGGAACGGCAGCGCGCGAGACTACTTCGAGAACGCCGCGACAAGTAACAAATCTCATCCCACCGCTCATAAATACTTACAAGAAATTTAGGCAGAGGCTGGATCGCGAAGAAGAAGATTTGAGCGGGACTGAGGGCAGAAATGAGCGGACGTACAAGTGGCGAGCGGTGGGGTCTTCCTAGCGGTCCATCTCAGCTGGTATAGGCAGATCACACCTTCCTTGCTTGTTTCGCCTTCCATCCTCCCACTACAACTTCACCTTTTGACTTCCATAGTCATCCAATCTTCCATTTTTCTAATCCACGCATCACACCTCTGCATCTTGGCGAGGCGGCTCCAGGGATCCCGAGTCCCAGAGAATCCCCACCGTTCACTGCACGGATCTCATCTTATCAACGGCTCTCATCTACCCTCCAAATATGTTTATTTAGCATTATTAACCCATTCATTGATTTTGTTAGATAATAATAATAATAATAATGAATGATAAGTATTGAGCAGCTAACTCCGGTAATAAGTCAGCTTTGGTGCATATGTTGTTTCAAAGTTGGTGTTGCATCAAGACATCATTATAATTATTAATAGTCTTAAATTGTTTATTTATCTGTTTGATTAATACAGCTCTGCTAACATATATGATTTGAGTTTGTTTGCCGACGGAAATCGATATGTTCCTGTTACTATCTTTATGAAACAGATACCATATCAATAATAATACAATATAATATATTATTCATTTTCAATACATATTCAAAACAATATTCAATACATATTAAATATAATATATTATTAATTTTTGAAACAATAAACATATATATATATATGTACAATATATAAAATTGTAAAGTACATATTTTTTTATATAATACAACATAATATCTTGGATATATGTACTGAGTCAGTATCTAATAGCTGCTCTATACATAACATATATATTTTGCTAATAGTTGGATTTATAATTGAAAACAGAATTGAAAAATAGACATGGTTCGAAAACTCGATTCAAATTTAGTATGAAAAGATCATGTCTAGGTCTCAAAAATAAGTTTGAAAAACAAAAAATCGAACTATTCGGCAGGGTAGAAAATCGTCCGGCCTAATCCGCTTTTGAAGATTAAATATTTTTAAAATGAATAATTATATATAAAAACAAATGAATACATATTTATTTATATAGCTGAATGGTTTAAAATTTAAATTTTACATTGGGTATGTTAATATGTTTAATTCTTGTATAAAAAATAAATTTTAAAATAAAAAATCGGGATGATCTAGCCCAATACGATTTTGAACCGGGCCGTGCCTAGACATGAACTCTCAAGTCTGATATAAAAACTGGCTAGGCCAAAAAATGGATCGGCCCAAAATTATCACCTCTAATTGAAAGTTGGATATATTAGTTTATTTAATTGATACTATTTATAATAATATATATATGATAAAAATTCAATTTAAAGTATTATTTGTTTGATGACTCAATCCATATATTTCATCATTTTGATTTGAAAATTATTTATTTATTTTTTAATTGTACTTCCTACGTGCAATTTAAAAAATTATTACAATTTATATTCTCTATCTCCCATAAAAACTATTTATATTATTGTAGAAATTAGATTTTAAAAGAGAGTATAATTTATAAATATAGATGTAATTTTAATTGTAATTAGCAAAAGTAAATGAAAAAAGAAAAAAAAAACAAAGAATAGAACAATTACATCACCAAATCTCATCCATTATTTTCACTAGTTTTTTCCAATAGAATTTTTCCCCGAATATTTGTCTTACACATATGTTGTTTACTGCATTATGTTCTGCCAATTAAGATTCACAAAATCATCATGTTCACCGCTATAAATAAACAATCAGATAAAGTATTTAAACTAAACTAAACTCAAACCATCTCCAAAAAAGTTATTGCTAAACAATATTACTTTCCGCCAATTAAAATTCACAAAATCATCATTTTTCACTCCTCATAAATACACAATTAGGGCACTTAAAACTAAAATCAATCCCAAACCTCCAACCAAAAAATGAGCAAAAATTTCCTCACAAGAAATAGAGCATAATAGGTTGTTGGAGTTCATGTTGGAAAAAAATCAATAATTCCAAACAGCCAAGGAAAGGAGCACTCGTCGAAGCAGCTAAAAACTTTAATTGCTTTACAAAGACGGTTGCAAGGCGTTGAAAAATTGCACAGGAGAAATTACCCAAATGTAAAGATCTCAGCGTACACATGAATATATATATATATATATATTGTAAGACAAGATAAAATCAAACCTAATTTGAAAGCAATTGAGAGGTTATAAGTGTTGCAATAGTCTTTGATCAAACACCTATCAAAAGGAATGCAATGCTAAAAATCATATGGATGAGTTAAAGCGAAATAAATTAAAGCTCGTACAAGTTCTATTAAGCTTGAACTTATCGAGACAAATAAACATAATAAGGTTAAGTTTTTTCATACAAGCACTTGATGTTTTTCGGTACATTGAAAATGCACATTTTCAAAGTATGCAAAACAGAGTTCATATTGATGAGAATGATTCTATATGTCTAAAGCTAGCCATCGATTTTACTTGACTCAATTGGAAAATAATCCACACATAACATACAAAAGCAAAAAATTAATCACAAATATTATGTTCATATGTGCAGTATCTCGAGCTATATGGAACAATGATGGAGTATTACTTTTTGATGAAAAAATTGGGATTTTTTCATTCACTGAGAATGTCCCAGCAATGAGGTCAAGCAAACGTCGTGTGGCCGACACATTGGAAACAAAACCAATACAATACGTAACAAATAAGGTTATAAAAAGTTATTTGATTAATCAGGTTAGCCGTAATTTACATTTACAAATACATTAAATGCAAGAAAATTTATTGTGGAAGTCTTAAACTCTCACATTTAGAGTAGAAGACCCAACATTTTCTCTTGATTAATGTTGCACCTCATTTGATCGATATTTACAACTTCTAACATGACAAGACTTGTGGCTAATGTTATGGTAGGTCATTTCAGCAATCAAAGAAAAGTGTCCAACCAATTTTTCAAAAATATACTCATCCAGCAAGATAATACAAATCCACACATAAAAAGGGACGATCTAGATTTTGTACATGCAGCAATAAACAATGGTTTCAATATTGTTCTTACTCAACAACCACCTAATTCTCCAAATATAAATGTGAATGATTTATAATGATTTCAAGCAATTTAGAGCTTACAAACCGATAGAGGATGTAAGAATGTCAATGAGCTTGTAGATGTAGTCCTAACAAGTTATAATGAGTTGACACCACAAACTAATAAGGTATTCTTGAGTTTACAAGGTTGCATGATTGAAGATCTTAAATTTAAGGGAGATAATACTTACAAACTTCCAAATTTGAGAAAAAAAAAAATTATTTAGGTTGAAAAATCTCGCAAATCAGCTCACCGTTCTTATGATATTAGTTCATAAATGCATTCAATATCTTATATAAAAATGAGAAGTGAAAAGAATTGAAAGATTTATGAGTGGCTTAGGTTATTAGAGATATGAATAATTTTTTGAAAAATATTTTGTTAATGTTTATGATTTAGTAAACCTACATCTTAATGTTTTTCTTTTGAAAGTAATTACATGATATGCAATTGTAAATATTATGTGTATTTCTTTATTCAATAAAATTCAATTAAAAGAATATTGCTTCCCTAAATTAACTCAACATAAAACTTAACAAGTTGAGATGAATTATTTAAACATGTTTACTATGAATATATGTTGAAAATCCGAAACAAAATCATATACAAACTGTTGATATAAAAATCATCATAGCATGACTGAATTTCTAACACAAAAAGTGACCAATATATCAATCTCACTAATAATAGAGCAAATTTTCAACACACTATAAGACACATAAGGATATGACTTCATTTCGAGCACAAAATATTTATCAATACTCCAAATCCAGCAATAACAGAGCAAATTTTCAAAGTGCATACCAAAACACAACAAATTTTCAGCAGATAATTTCACAAAGACTTGAATGCCACAAGAGAAACACAGATATGCTCAAGCAATAAAGGGTTAGAGTAGATCTCACCAACGTCCTTATTAAGACGTGAATGCAAGGATACACATAATCGGGATGAGACTGTGATTTCATTTTCATCAAGCTCGTCTTCAAAATCAGGAACAAATTATATTTTTACCCAAATATCATCATTTTCCTTAACACAGGGAGCACCACCTTCAAGTCCGGCGTCCTTTTCTGTCGAGGAAAAATAATGCCGAGATGTTTTTGGCGCTCTCTAGCAGCCACTACAAAAAATTTTAAATTTAGCTAAAAAATAACAAAATCATAGAAAAAATGTTTTGCGCCTATACCGCGTTACTAAAGGTTTTTAGTGATGAATATGACTTTTGTAATAAAAAATAAATTTTTTGCAATGAAAGTCAAGAAAAAATATGTCGAAAATATGAGTTTGTAGCTAAAGCTCTTTTGTTATAAAATTAAAATTCATAACGAAAGAGTTTTAGCAACAAACATGTATGATTTTTTTAGCCAAATAATTTTAGCTATGAAAAATAATTTTGTAGCTAAAACATTTTTACTATAAAAATAAAGTTTTCTAGAAAAAAATATTTTAGCGACGAAATTAATTTTGTAGTGCATAATTTTTTTAGCGATGAAATTATTTTTTTATTGCTAAATAACACGTCTTAACTACAAAAATATTTCATAATTGAAAATATTGTAGCTAATTATATACTTTTTTGTAGTACACCTTAGAAGTTGAAATTCAACCCCAAGTCGAAAGGCTCCTCCTTTTCCTTCACTCATCCACCGTCATCTGCACTCGCGGCAAGCTGCTCTCCCGAGAAATGCCATAAATCATCGCCATCAGAAGTGGGTTGCAAGGCAGTGAACAAATCAAGATATCCACGCCATAAATTTCATTTTTTCCTTTGCCGAGCTGGTCCCCTAACTCAGAATCGTCATCGGAAGGCTAAATCACAACCAAGGACGACTCATAGTTGGGACATCGACAATTGAAGGTGCAACTGGTTTTTTGAGAAGCCAGCTGCAGGGAGAGAGAGTGTGCCACTAAGTATGACGACACTAACGCAGTACTAGGGAGGGCTACTAAGTGCTTTTCTGGCCAACAGTGGGTTTCCATGGCGGGAAAAATTGGAAGAACAAAAGAAGGGGAAGAGGAGTGGGCTTTTTAAAAAAATGGCCTAAGTCAAAGTACAATTTAAAAATCTAGCTCTCAAATAAGTTTTCAAAACTAATATATTTATAAAGTATA